CTTGTCGCGGATTTTTATCGACGAAAGTTTCTCCGCCCGTCTTCGTTGTTTCGGAAATCACATTTCTCTCTTAATTTCGTTTCTTGCGAATTAATGTGTAATAGCAATCGGAAGGCAACTGCAGGATGTGCTGTTGCGTGCGCATGGATATACACGTTTCGAGAGATTATATCAGGAACAAATCGAGCAGCGGTTATACACGTACACGAAATCTTGACTTGTGAACAATGGTCCGTTCTTGTATAACAGCGTTATCTCGAACGTGTGGCTGATATTGCTTCGCATAAAGGCAACTCTCGTGAAAATACGCTACGTATATGTGCGCTATCTGAAATTTCTAGTAAAATAAATAGAAATATCAAATTCAAATTACTTAAATATTTCAAATCTGCTTTGTGATTTGAGGGGGAGACGCAGTAGGACGTAATGATCCTTTTCTTTTTGTCAATTTAACGCGAAAAGACGACAAAATATTGACAAAATTACTGCTTAGCAAAAATCCCTAATTTTCATACGAATATCATCCAATGCAACTTAAATTTTTATAGGAATATTATTAAGAAATTTCCAAATTTCCATTATTCTCTATACTCTGTAGATTGAGAGACTGATGCAACTTGTGATTTCGTCGCGTGGGAGTGTAATTGATTTCAGCTGAAATTACTGCTTAGCAAAAATACCTAATTTTCATACGAATTTCATCCAATGCAACTTAAATTTTTGTAGAAATATTATCCAATGCAACTTAAATTTTTATAGAAATATTATCCAAGGCAAATTAAGAAATTTTCAAATTTCCATTATTCTCTACACTCTGTAGATTGAGAGACTAATGCAACTTGTGATTTCGTCGCGTGGGAGTGTAATTGATTTCAGCTGAAACGCCACATTGTTTGACAAGAGGAAGAGGGGAGGAGTAAAATTACATGAAAGATAGAGCGATCTTCAATTTTAAAGTGCAGCAGGTTTATCGAACGGCTTTCTAAGGTTGTCGTCGTGTCTATACGCAGATTTATTGAAAGATGAGTGCTCGAACGATCAAATCACACAGTGGGTATAGCACGACAACGCGGAGGACAAAAGAAATCAGCAACTTTCATAAAACTCTCCGCGTAGTGCCACAAATTAGTACCAGAGCCTTAAAATCCTTTTGTTCTCATTCCGACGTAATAACTGCACGAAATTATGAATTATCGTGCACAATGTGTAGACATGGATAGTGAATATTATTCTCTGCGAAATATAATATAATACGTACGTTGTTTGCAATTGCTAGAACAAAATATAGATTGATACATGTAAATACGTACCTATTATATGTATGCAAATTTATATAAACGAACCGTTTAATTATTCACGTCATTAAATTTGATGCGGGCTTATTATTAGAGTAGCTTATTAAAACAAAGCATCGAGCAATTAAATTAAATTACATTGATCTGGATGAAGCGAGGAGTTTTGATGGCAATGCTTGGTCGGTTACCCTAGAAAATATACTGTGACTTTCGAATTTAAAGAAACTGAAATTATAAAATTAATGAAAATAGAATTATGAATTTTCAGTTAAATCTTAAACAACCTCCTGAACGTCTACGTAAACGTTCAGACGTGAAATTGCGTTCCTAGACTTGTTTTCTTCTCTTTTCCACTTTTTTGTTCGACGAAATTACCAGAAGGCCGCGTTAAACTGAGGACGTGGCGTTCAAGGTCGCCGCGCCGTTAGCATTTCCGGTCGACTGCTCGACAATCTGAGCAAACAAACAGAATTTCGATAAACCGTCATTTCTTTTTCTTTTTTTTTTTTTTTTTCTTTTTTTTCAACCAGAAAGCAGCTCGCTTCTACAAAGAACAATCAATTTCAACGACCGCTTTCAGAAAGATTGTGTTGAAACTTTGAATCATTCGGAAGTTGAAGCAAAACTTGGCAACTCTCCATTAGATTCAAACAAATACATAGTACAGTTTCATACCGCGTGGAATTTTTGCAGCTGATTGAATTTATGTGAAAAATTAAAATGTGAAAGGTACACGAGATGTGCATTCACCAACAACAGACACCATCGAATTCTTTACAATTAAAAATTCGTATATCTGTACGAAATGTGTTCCTCTGGAGCAGTTTCTCAACCTTTTTTCTTGGGCCACATTTCGCCCAAGCATCTCTAAAATCCTTGTGACGCGTAATTTTTATTATTCAAAAAGTGAACTTTTGACGTGGTTAACTTGGTCTAAGCAAGCTTCCAAAGAACATGACATCCATGGAAAAAAAAAACAGTTGAAAGGATATTTGAAGTACGTTGAAGAAATCACTGAAAGAAATTGTTGAAAAAATAATAAAATGAAAATGACGTGATAAAGTTTTAAAACTTTACTTATAAAAGAGAACTGAATGCATACACAAGCATAAAATAATTTTAATGGAAGATTTTTTTTGTAATACTTCGATCATTTAAATTATTATAAAATTATTATTCAAAAAGTGAACTTTTGACGTGATTAACTTGGCCTGAGCAAGCTTCCAAAGAACATGACATCCATGGAAAAAAAACAGTTGAAAGGATAGTTGAAGTACGTTGAAGAAATCACTGAAAGAAATTGTTGAAAAAATAATAAAATGAAAATGACGTGATAAAGTTTTAAAACTTTACTTATAAAAGAGAACTGAATGCATACACAAGCATAAAATAATTTTAATGGAAGATTTTTTTTGTAATACTTCGATCATTTAAATTATTATAAAATTATTATTCAAAAAGTGAACTTTTGACGTGGTTAACTTGGCCTGAGCAAGCTTCCAAAGAACATGACATCCATGGAAAAAAAACAGTTGAAAGGATAGTTGAAGTACGTTGAAGAAACTACTGAAAGAAATTGTTGAAAAAATAATAAAATGAAAATGACATGATAAAGTTTTAAAAGATTTAATTATTAAAGTTATTAAAGAAATGAAATTCACAAACATGAAATAATTTTAATGAAAGTTTTTTTTGCAATACTTGGATCGTTTAAATTATTATAAAATAAAACAAAGGTACCTAACAAATTCAAAGTACAATTTCAGCTTATTAAGGTAAAAAATTCACAAAAAAATTCGCTGTCAATAACTCATTCTCGAATCCCCCCCCCGTGGTTCAGGTTGGGAACCACGACTCTACAGGTTTTACGCAACTTCAAGAATCTTCCTGTGGAATACTATACCGAAGTTTGTGCAAATATTTGATCTCTGTATACATCACCGATGATACTTTCGGAAGCAGGAATGCGAGAGGAATTGTCGGTCTCTCAAAATCGGCGAGAATTTCTCGAAAATGCCACTGTCCGAGCGAAGGAGAAAGAACGCGCGCGCGCGCGTGTGTTTCTGTCTGGAAAAGATACTTCGAGGCTGCGGCCTCGTAACAACTGATGTTTAATCCAGAAAGAACGACGAAACAGAAATTAACATTGCTCCCGCGAGAGTCGTTAAATTCCCCCGCTGTGTTTCTGTCGGCGACAGTTCGCAGCTATCTCTCCGGTAAGGCCTTCGTCGTTTTAAGGATTAACGAGTAGCTGCGCTTTCTGAAAGTTTCTTCTGGCATTGCCCGAATACGTACGAATATGTGCATACGTAGAGGTATATACATAGATACATACGTATATACGTGGCAGCGAGAATCCTGCTTTGTGCGACAATCACTCACGCAGAGGCAGAACGTTTTCGACGAACGGGGAACGTGCCTTTGCACGGACAAAGAAACGATAGAATTGAAGCCGTTGAATCAAAATAAATGATCGAGACCGCGAGGATAATTTCATCGACATTAATACGTATTAGAGTGATGCACGCAGCCGTGGTATTGTATACAATAACGCTTTGTCTCATTATACTGTGCAAAATGCCGATTTATATGGCATTAAGAACACCAATTAACCGTATCAACTGATATTCCATATCAACTAATATTCTAACAGCAATTAATGTGCATTAATTAGCTGATATCGGCTGGTATACGGTTATTATTGCGTGTTAATTGGAACCCATTACGTAATTATAAATTTTAGAAACGACAAATTACGTGAATAATCGAATTTAAAAAATCATCATGATAGAATTCGAGTAGATGACCCTTATTAGCTAATTAATTAATGTAACTACTATGGTTATTATTTTGTTAATAGGAACGCACTATGTAATTACAGATTTTACAAACGACAAATCACATAAATAATTGAATTTAAAAAAATTAACACCGTAGAATTCGAGTAGATGAACCTTAATTAATATGAATACTATGGTTATTATTGTACAAATTTTAGAAACGACAAATTACATAAATAGTTGAATTTAAAAAAACTAACATGAGTAAATAAATCTTATTTATAGCTAATTAATTAACGCAACTACTATGGTTATTATTTTGTTAATGGGAACGCACTACGTAATTACAAATTTTAGAAACGACAAATTACATAAATAGTTGAATTTAAAAATATTAACGCGGCAGAATTCGAGTAGATAAATCTTATTAGTTAATTAATTAATACAACTACTATGGTTATTATTTTGATAATGGAAACGCATTACGTAATTATAAATTTTACAAACGACAAATTACATAAATAGTTGAATTTAAAAATATTAACGCGGCAGAATTCGAGTAGATAAATCTTATTAGTTAATTAATTAATACAACTACTATGGTTATTATTTTGTTAATGGGAACGCACTATGTAAATTACAAATTTTACAAACGACAAATCACATAAATAATTGAATTTAAAAAATTAACGCGATAGAATTCGAGTAGCTAATTAATTAATGTAATCATTATGGTTGTTATTGCGCTAGATAATTACAGATTTCAGAAGCGACAAGTTACATGATTAATGAAATTCAAGAAATCGACGCGATCGAGTTTCGTGTAGACGAGGTAGTTGAACTTGTTTGATTTGATAATAGGTATCGGACGAAACGATATTATATTATCTATATATCTGACAATTTGTATTTCTGTGATTTGTAGACCGGCGAGGAAACGCGGTCGTTTCTGAAGTGGACGAGAAGAAGGGAAAGGAGGAAAGGGCAAGAAGAAAAGGAGAAAGAGACGAAGGTGATCTTGTCTGGGTAGAGGTCAATGGAGCCATCTTGATGCAGGCTGCAAAACTACGTGGGGATTACCCATCGTGGTCGTCGGGCTGGTTTCAACGGTGAACAGTGGCGATTCCACCCGTGGGTGGAAGCGCCGTTTCCTTCACCGTCAACGGCGAATAGTACAGCCACTTCCGCTTCCTCCACCCCACGTGGCCGAACCATTACCTGATAAGGTTCGTTCAAACGCACCAAGATTTCGTTTCTCTCTCTCTCTCTCTCTCTCTCTCTCTCTCTCTTTCTCTTTTTTCCGCACATTTTTCAATTTCAATCTCTTCGAACAACTACCTCCTCTGTTTGAAATGTCTCCATCTCTCCTCCCCTGTGTAAATTTCATCCCGACGATTATTATTCCGTCAAGAATTCCATTAGTTTCGTTAGTTGTTCAATCGATTCCGCTCGTCAGTGGTCCGGCGGAATTGATGGAACGGACAATTAAACTGTCACTCGAAAAGCCCCCCGTGCATACGTACGTTTTACAAACGGGCACTTCGGGAATTTCCACCGACACGAACGAACCGATCCGGCATAATCGATATTAAAACTCGTGTGTTTCATTTATCGAGTCCTTACGAGTGTCGATTCACGTGTCAATTACACGAAAGAGTGATATTACGTTTCGAAAGAACAGAGACTCCTACAGCCAATATTTGCGTCAACACTTTGACTACCTTTTCCTTCCTGTTATTAATATATCGCTGTCTGATTGTATCGATCCGTTGCCTCCGTGTTGACGCACGTATGTACGTATACTACGTATACCTAAGTACGTGTGTTAACCTGCACCAATTAACTAACTACTCGATCTACATTTCGCAGTGTGCGTTTGTCTTACAATTAAGTGGCCACCCTCGACCGCCCGTGTTTATTCAAAAACACGCGAACACGTGAATGCAGCCGAGCACGTTCAATTTTTCTCTTCTAAAATTTGTCTAAAACTTTCCGCGCGTTCGCGGTTCGTACATCTGCTTTTTTATTTAATACGCAGTTCACGGCCCGCCTTCTCTTCCTTGTGATATCCCTTTGTGATATCCCGCAGAAAACGCAATGTCCGCAGGATATAGCGTTTCCTACCTGTGTTTAGCCGGGACGATATAAATTTTTCCACAGAAAGGGACGTCTCCTCCGAGCATAACAATTTAACCGAGGCCAAGTTTGCACCCGTCGCCCGATATAATTTCATTCATTCAATACGCTTTGGTCCGCGGGGACGCGAAAAACAAATGGAAATTTTTATTCTGCCCGCGACCGAACGGATTTTATTCGAAAACGTTCGCCTCTCTCCCATATTTTTTCCCCCTATCTTTTTGTATCTTTCGTTCGAATGCTCGCCATAAAGGGGATGAAATTTTCATCACCGTTCCAGCGTAGTTCCAGCTCGTTGACGTGTCAGCGTTGCAAGTCGTTAATCACGTTCGCTTGCATCTGTTTAGTTGGTCGCGAGATATTTTCGATGTCTGTCGTACCTAAGGGCGAAACCAGGCGCAAAGCAGATCGATTTTGAATGAACTTCTTCAGAAAGATAAACCGAAATACAGTGGGCGTGAAAAGTATTGCGTACCAGTGACTGATTGCGACGAAAATGCTGAATAATGATATTTATTATAACAATATTTTTTAAACAAACATGGCGCATCTATTCTTCAAAGATGTTACTTGCGTTTACGCAACAACAATTTAACAAACTGTAACTGTACGAATACTTGTATATATATACATAAACAATATGATTTTTTTTTTTGTTTATTTGATATTGTTGTTCTACAGACTTTGGAGAATAGATGTACCATGTTTGTTTAATAAATAATTCCTGTTTAATAAATATTATTATTCAGCATTTCAGTCACTGTACGAATACTTTTTATACCCACTGTATGTAACCGGTGTATTGATTATTATTCAGATCATGGAATTACAAGTTCGGTTGCCTTTGAATTATAATTATATCGCGTCGCGTAATAGGCATTTCGTTCATGGTAATACTCGATGTTCCATAATTCATAGATCCGAGCTTTATTGAAATTCGTTGAATCGCCATTGAAAAGAATCGAAAATAGTTTATGATAGTTGGAAATAAGAAGATGGGACGCGTGTGCGAGGATAATGCATCACCCAATCGTTGCACGAGCTTAGCGCACGATTTTGATGCAAATTCACCGCGCTGAGATATACAGGGTGTCCCGTGTGAAACTACGCAATTTTCCCTCGGACCATTTGCTACAGAGAAAAATGTTTCGAGTGAAACTTGCGTTATTTCGACGGGGGTCTGTTTCAAGGTCATTTCTTACACTTCCGACATTTCAAGGTAATCTTTGTTTTTTTTTTTTTTTTTAATAGAAACTTAAACACTATATATTTTTGAGTTCACAGTCTTGTAGCTGACGTCAAGACGAATTCAGCGACCTAGATAACTAGGTTGGTGTTCCAATTCAAGGTCATTCAAAGCTCATCTTTATCGAGCATCCAGAGATTATTCGTGATCTATGATGTTCGAAGTGGTGACCTTGGGGCGTCAATACACTGATCTATTCTGTCCCTAAACGACAGCTGCACGCTTTCCAGTGTTTGAAAATTGCGTTTGGACAATTTCATATGGGACACCCTGTATATTTGCTCTGTAGTTTCTCGCGAAGTTCCTCGCACGAAGCGCGCGAAACTGGAAATTAACACGCTGAAAACCTGTTTTCCTTTTCACGGAAGTTGTCGACGTTTCGCGCTTCCGTCGAAATCAATTCATTTTCCAAGTATCAATTTTTTCCAACAAGGGAACATGAACTTGCCATAAACGTAGTTTTACGAAAAAACATTTGACGCGTTTTTTTTTTTTTTTTCAAAATGAAGATTCTAATTTATCTTTATATTTTATATTTGAATGCATAGTTTTCGTGAACAAATGTTCAAGTTTAACATTTACTTGGAGAAAAAGATAAAAAATTAGTAAAATAATATTAGTTAAATAAATGTTTAATCGTAAAATGATAAAAAAATAGCGTTTTATAAATATATTGTTTAAACAAACAATGGTTTCTTCGGTAAGATCGTACACACCATTAAATTCGTCATTTAAAAAATACTAATTTCATCAATTTACACAAAATGATCTATATCTTGAATAACTTCCGAAATATTTGACAAAATATGTTCCAATACCCCAACACCCACCCTTTGAGGATAGTTTCCATCCCTTCAACAACATTGCCAATTAACAGAAAAAGGAAAAAAAGTACGTGTCAAATTCGATTATTTTGAAAACTACATTTACGCGAACGTTTCGTCAAAATGACATGATTGATTGAGACATCGGTACGTTCCCCTGTAAGTATTAATCATCGCGTCCTCTTATCTGCATGAACGTGTATCGCTTTAAACGCAGCCAACGTAGTACAATAATTCAAGTAATTCGTTGGCAAGTAATTACGTCGAAATCGATCGTAGACGTACGACGTGACGAATCGCTTTAATAACAAGGCGAATACCTCGGATACGACGAATTACTCGAGCGACAATGTATGCGCTCTTCTCGTCACCACAAATGGATGCCACTCGCGCATTTTCTGGGTCCTCGTCGTGCACACGACGAGGGTATTATGCTGGTACACGGCTGGCTCGGCGAGTCGCGCCAATCTTAATTATTTTTGACAGAACTGGGTCAGATTTTAAATCGTCGGCGTGCTTCAAATAACACTTTAATGCGTATACTTTCCACTTCTTCCTTCAGCGGAAACACTCGAACGAACGAATTTATACCTGCTTCTTCTTGCAACTTCAAACCGTTCCACTTAACTCATTCACCATCGTACGTATTATATCACCGGACGTGCACACGCCAAGATGAAACATGAAACGTAGGAAAATATGATTGATATTGTCTTGATATACAGGGTGAAATTATTCACGCTGCAAAAGATATTTTCGATCGTATTGAAAGGTCAATAATTAGTAAGAAATTCTTATCCACGATCAGAAATAACGCGACAGCATAAACACTATGCTCATATTTACTTCCAAAAATGAAAAAAAAAAAAAAAAAATGAAAAAAGAAAGTGACGCGAAGAAATTCGTTTAACGCTAGAAATACTGATTAAGGTATATAAAGTGTTCCATGAAAGAACATATTGAAGCAACAGAAACGAAAAATTTAATAATAATAAACAACAATAAGGTATGCAAGCATTTATTTATACATCTTACGAATCTCTGAAATATATAAGTTGTTTCAATTTCCTTCACAAATGTGTATGAAAGAAAATTCTGACGACTTTGGTGGTGGTTCCTAGTGTTAACCTCTTGCGCTGGAATGACGTCTGAGAATTTTTTGTCTGAAATTGCAACATTTTCTCAGTGTCGGGTATATTTAAATGTAACCCCGACAAGTTTATTACTTCTTAATCATTTCTATCCAGTGATATCGTACCGTCTTCTTCAAAAGACGCAGAAAACGACGAATTATTGTATACGGTCACTCGTTATGGTCCGCGAACCAGCTGCCGGCGCAAGGGGTTGAGTTGAAAAGCAATTTCCCGCTCGCTTTCGTCGATGCTCGTCGTGGCCAGTCCGGTTTTAAAGAGCCGGATAATCGAAGGAAATCCGCTTGCTGCATCGGTTGTAATGTTTCGCACGGCACGGGATATTAAATGGAAGGGAACAATGTTTAATTAGAGCTGGAGAAGCGGCCGCAGCCGCAGCCGCCTCGGAGCTCTGAGGAGCTGGAGGATCTGCACAAGCTGCTGCACTTCCCCGAGGAGGTGGCGCTCAGGTTGACGGAGACCGAATACCAGCTGTTCTACCAGATACCGCCGGAAGAGTACCTAAGGCACGTGGCACAAGATCAGAACACGAAATCACCTGCCAGGCCACCCCCGTCGCCGAGTCGCAGCTACTGCAATCCCAGCACCGCCAACAGCTCGACCCAAACCGAGGAAGAGTCCAACTGGCCTGTTCTCAACCTCTTCTCTTCCGTTCAGACGCTCATCAATCGTTTTAATGAGGTAATTTTTCCAACCCCCCCCACCCCCCTCCCCCCTCCCTCTCCTCAGATGCTCACACTTGCGATTGGTCACTGTCGATCGAGTTCACTTCGATTCAGCCAAGTTTGTCGATTGACCCCAGAAAGTGACAAAATAGTATACACATTGTTTTTTCCTTTTTTTAATTCCTTTTGAAAATATAAATTCAAGATTAGACACTTGGTAGAATGTGTTGTAGATTTAACGACACATAAAATGCACAAGATAGTATATCCTTGGAGTAATTGTTATTATTGGTCCAATTATCGCATGATTTGGCAAGTGGAGATTTAAAATCATGAGATTGAGCCTTTAAAGAAATGTTTCGTTGCAAAGTTTTAGAAAAAAATTACGTTATTAAATTTATATATATTTATTACGTTATTAAATTTATTTATATTTATACATATTTATTACTAATTTATATTATTATTTATATTTATATATTTATTATTATTTATTATTTATTACTATATAAATTACGTTATTAAATTTACTTATATTTATATATATTTATTACTCTATTAAAATTATTAAAAAAAAATTAGTAATACGTTGAAAAATTAGTAATACACTGTTACAATTGTTATCGTTCGAATTGAATCGACACAAATAATAATGTCCTCCTCATCGCGTTACGTACAAAATACTTGAACGTTCGTGCATATTTTCTTACGTCGATACAAGGAATAACTTTCTGTCATTCTCAAATGTCATGTCAACGTGATTGTCTAATTAGCGTGCGTTTGGAAATTTTAGGTAAGCTCATGGGTTACCCACGCGATCGCAAGTGGCGCAACAATAGAAGAGAGGCAGGCGATATTGTCCTGCTTCCTGCGAGTAGCTCAGACCTGTTGGAATACCGGAAACTTTAACTCAGCCATGGAAATTGTTGCTGGTCTCAAGTAAGTTTTGTTTCGTAAACCTTCTCTTCTCAATCTCCATCTGTTTCCCCTCGATTGTTGTTATTCCACGCGTGAGTGTGACTAATTAAACAACGCTAACACCTAGTATCGACTTGCAATCGGCTGGAAATTTATCGTTCAAACGTTATTTTTCTTTTAAATTTCATTTCCAGATGTAACGTAGCTTAACTATTAAAAGGAAACACATTATAAGTAATAAAAGTTAGTACATACATAGTTGTCAAAATTTTTTCAAGTGTACGTTAGCCACTATGATATATGAGAAAATGTAATTAATCCAAGATTAATGAAATTAACGAAGAAATATTTATTCAGTGATGAGCAGAACTGAACACGCACGTGCAGTTTTAACGTGAATAATATTTCATCGAGTATTTGCATGTAGAATACAAGAAAAGCAAAATACGCAGTGTATTTTGACTTGTGTAAAAAAAATTTTATCACCGCGTTGCCATCAGTTCTGACACACGTAGAAACTGTTTTCATTAGTTTAAATTAATTAAAATTAATTCAAATGAAAAATTCTCGATACTTTTAATCGTTATAAATTCGTAACAAAAAAAAAAAAAAAAAATTATAATTGGAATCATCACAGTCTACTTGACCTCATTTTAGAGCATAAAATCATTTTGATTACCCTGAATTCGTTTTTTCCCAGTTTAACATCATCCAGCAAGTGGAAAAATATTCTTTTGTTTTTAAAAAGAAATTGTCAAAATTCACAGGTATGTAAAAATATGACCTTACAACGACCCTTTAAAACTTGCAGCGTGATTTCTTTTTTCGTCATTTTATTAATCGAGAAAGATCCAAGAAACCCTAATCACATTATTCGAAATTGAATAAAATGACAGAAAAAGAAGAAAATCGTACAGCAAGTTTAATGAAAAAATTTCAGTCTTGAAGACTGTGATCGATCAACTCTACGAAAGTGTTTAATATTTTTTAGAAACGTTCGAATTTTTACAATTTACGAGAATAAAAGTAGTTTTACTCTGCCATCTGTTGCACGATGTAAAACCGTCTTTGAAAGGAACAAAGTAGAAGCTTTACGCTTTAAAATGAGATCAAATTGTTGTATAATCTTCTTTTCGCGAATTTTCATTACTATGTGTGCAATTATGCTCTTCACCAAATTAATTTATTAACTTCTTCTCTTGTTATGTAGGTCTTACTATACAGGGTGTTTTGTAACTTTTGAGACCCATTTCGGGAGCTTTTAGATTGTACGCCTAAAAATAATGAAAAAAAGTCATATACATAAATATATGTCCTATCTGTCTTCGTTTATGAGATATAATGAATTTTCTGTTTTAATTACTTTTACAAAAGATGCTCGAAATGACNATAGGACCTCCACGACCAATCCATTTATTTGCAAAGTGTTGATTTAAAAATTGCCTAGCCACTCGGCTAAAATGCGGCGGAACTCCATCCATGCATAAACCGCGTATGAAGTCTAATATCAACTGGAACTTCCTCTAATATTTCGTGTAAACGCGTGCTCAAAAAAATCAACGTACTTTATGCCTTAGATTCCCATCAAGAAAGAAAGGTCCAATTAAAAATTTATCAATTATTCCTGCCCGTTTATATTTATTGTTTAAACTAAACTGGTGTTTATGTCTTGAATGCACAATAACATGTGGGTTTTCTTCACCCCAATTATGATTATTACGAAAATTGAATATACCATCCCTGGTAAAACTAGCTTACTAGAGTTTGCTCTGTTTATAAAGTTCATTATATCTCATAAACAAAGACAGATAGCACATTTATATGACTTTTTTTTTCATTATTTTTAGGCGTACAATCAGCTCCCGAAATTGGTACAAGTTACGAAACACCCTGTATATGTAGGTCGTGATTAATTAACTTTATTGTGCATACAGCGAATATGGATCAATATGTACTTGTTTATGTTTGAAAGTCCGTCATTTCGTGCGTAAAGAAATTTAATCTGTCCGAAACAATAGTAACGTTATCTCGTGGGAAAGGGTAAATGGACGAACTAAGAAAAATATAGTGCAGAGAGTATAAATGAATTAGTTTGTTACAAATTCGTCAGTTTCATCATGAATCGATGATTAATAACGCTACAGCAACGTATTTTATAGAATTTTAATATTGAGCGTTGTTGCCATTCGTTGCGAAAGTAAATTGAAACTCTGCTGCAAATATTAATAGTTCCAAGTGGATTATTCCTTCACTTTTTTATTTCTGTTCGATTTTCTTTCTCCCCGTTAATATCGTCGAATTTTCTGGCTTTCCGCGAAATTAGTTCCCGCAAATCTACGTCCAAATATTTGTCACGGTGCTTGATCGTTAATTTTATTGCCAAATATAAATTGAGGTCAGAAGGAACCTCAACGCGCACGTTCCCTGCGACTTCAATATAAATAGGGTTCGATATAATAGCAGTCTCTGATCCAATAAAGCGTGCCTCGAGGATTTTATATTCTTTTCTGCGAAATAATACCTACTCCATCTAAAATTTCATAGAACGTTGTGTACGAGGAGAAACAAATCTCAATCTTGGTTTGAGGAATTTGCTTAACCGTTAAAAAGTTACCTATTGTATTTTACAAATACTCGCGAAGCGAAGGAAAACAAAGTGTGTGTGTGTGTGTGCACAGAGTCGTGTTCCAGAATTTTCGTGTTTTCTGTAAACCATAGAAAATAAAGATGCAACTCTTTATCATTCACAACGATTTAAAGGAAAGACAACAAAGATATTCAAACATCTTTCAAACGTTACTCCGTACAAACACAACACGACGCTGCAACGTCGATACATTTTCGAGTACACGCATACACACACACACACACACACACACACACACACACAAAACATGGAATGTTATCCTTCCTCGTTTCTTCTCCTCAAACGTGCATTGTTTTATGGAAAGCAAACGTCTCGGGGAAACTTGCTCGCTCGTTGCATGACGTTTCCTACTCGTGGATACAGTAAAATCGATACAGTAAAAGTAAAACACGCCATTGTGTAAACAGATGCCCTACGTAACCTGATCGTCGAGTTACGAGCGATTTGAAGAAAATTCTGTTCAGGCTGTAACGTTTCTCATACATGCACGATGTAGATACTATTGCTCGTCTTAACATTGATTATGCACGTAGCTTGACATTATCCGGAGCTAACAAAGACTATCGAAAATGCCGATACGATAAATATCATTGTTCCGTCAACTGCGTCGAAACGTCGAAAATGTCGTAACGTATGACAAGTGTCATTGTGTCATGGCTTTCACAGCTGAAAATCTTTTCTTTTTTCTTTTTTTTTCTTTTTTTATAAATCTCGAACGAAGAAACAAGCTGCGCGCCGTTGTAATTGCACTCTTGCGGTCGCTTCGAAAAAGCGAATGGAAAATAAACTAGTGTTTATTACCATCGCGTCGTAAAACCGGCAAGCGCGCGTCGCAACCGTGAACGAAAAGATAAAAGTAACCGCCCCGGGCATCGCCCCACACACGGCCATTGTCCCACAGGATGGCCGTTCCTCGTAGGTGCTTACAATTTACCTCACGTTACATCCTCCCGCTTGAGTTTCAGTTTCAGTTTCAGTTTCAGTTTCAGTTTCGGGCAACTAACTATGTGATTCAGCCGAATAGTTGGAATTTTACGTGTACCCGCGCTGTCGTGACCTATTACCCCGCTAAAACTTGCCCCAATGCGGGACGAAACTCTTCGCGGAACACGTCAACGCTTTTCAATATATAAATACCAGTGTACGATTCAAGTTGAGAAAAGAATTTTTACGATCGTTGAAAATGAAAATATTCTTACTTTCCTTCGCTCTGTTTAATGTGAAAACGTCTTTGAAAAAGAACAAAGTTAGGACAGTCAAAGTAGAAGCCTCAGGCTTTAACCCCTCGCGCTAGAATGACGTGCCACGCACATCGAGAATTTCTTGTCCCAAACATTTGCAACATTTTCTCAGTTTTAAGTATATTTAAATGCAATCCAGGCGAAACAAATGATTCGTTTATTACTTCTTAATCATTTCTATTCTTCTTAATGATATCTATCTATATAATAGTGATATCATCAACGACGAGTTCAAAAAGAAAGAGGAAGCGACGAATTATTGTACACGGCTCGGTCACTCGTTACGGTCCGCGAACCAGTTGCCAGCGCAAGGGGTTAAAGTGAGACCAAGTGGATTGTTGCATGATTGTCCTTTACAAAAGACATAATTTCATGTATCATAGCAATTTTTTTGTAGATAGAACAATTGACGTATCACAACAATTTTATTAATGCTTATTGATAATATTATAGTTGTTATTAACAGCTATTGTCAATTTTCATCACTTTGTAGATAGAACAATTGACGTATCACAACAATCTATCAATACTGTTGTCAATTTTTCATCATTGTGTGTTCAGTTATGCTCTTCTGTAATAATCACTATAATATATAATATATAATTGCCGATTATTTGATACATACATATTGATATTATGTAATATATAATATGTGTATAATATATAATAATCTGTAAATGTATAATGTATAATATGTGTATAATATATAATAATCAGGAAATTGAATTCAATCAGGAAACAGTCTCGTTGTTAGCCATTGAAGGAATATTTTCGCTTCGTTGCAGATCGAACAAGTTGAAGCCGTTTTGGCAGAGCGTGAACGAGCCAGTACCGGTTTTGGAAAATCTCTCCTCCGCCCTCCTGTCCGTCGAGTATGAATTGGCGCTCGCTCGTTCCCTGGCGATGCCAGAGTGTCCGGTGGTGCCGTTCTTCGGAGCTTTCCTGCGGGAATTGCGGGAGGTCATCGCGTTCGAGTTCAAGGTAACCCGTTCAATTTCATTCTTCCTCCTAGTAATTACTACTGCACAGCTCGCTGTGCCGCTATCTTGGAAAAGGCTCGTGGCCACGGACCTTGGAAACGTTCACGAGAATTCAGTCCGAGTCATCCGTCGACGAGCGCGCGATGCCTCTCGCTTCGGTTTTGCAAATATTACGTCGCGCCGCGTGCAATCGCTAGTTTCGCATTGTAGTGAAACTTTCGAGCCATCCAGTGTTTGTCCCGCTGCGATTTTCCAAGAACCAAGCGCACACGCGTTGCTGTTGTCGTACGACAAACAATAACGCGCGAGTAGGTACACACCTATTTATAAACGCGTCGATTGCGTGGGGCTTTCGACTTCTTAAGAACCGTTGAGATTAATCCTAATGTCGCCGTACTACATGTACAATCGGTCACGAAAATATTCGGACGTCACTACAGATTCGATCTTTATGTTCTGCATTTTATCTTAAATGTACAAAGGACTAAGAAAATGTACTACGCTATGATAGAGTGTAGTTTTTAGATAACAAAAATGCAAAAACCTTTTATTTATTGTAATATTAATAACGTTTTTTTTAGTCCTTTGTACATCTAGATAAAATACAGAACAACATAAAGATCACATCTGTACTGGTGTCCGAATATTTTCGTGACCGACTGTATCTCGTTTATCTCAACAAACGAAATCTTCGTATCGAATTTAATCTGATTGATTCGTTTGAATCGAAATTTTTCAACGTGGAACTCTCGGGAGGGAGAATGGTAGATATATCCCTGTTTCCACAGTACAATTTCGCTATTTCCTGTGGCTCTATTTCGAGAAACTTACGCAGCAATAAAGACTTGCGGTTACATAATCAAGAATTTTCTGCTTGGGCTACAGCTTGTTTCACTTTTGTTTCAAAGTTCTCTGGAAAAATCCACCGGAAGTGAGATTTTTGCCATTTGTTTTACCAAACGTCGACTAGAGAACGAGTGGGGGGACGGGGGGGGGGGGGAGAGAAACATAATTGGTCAATGCGACCGAACGTTAACAAAAGATTTTCGAACGTTTTTGCATAAACATGGAGGATCCGAAATTCGAGGAGAAAAATATTTTAACTGAAAGTCCGTTGCTTCTGAAACGCGAAATAAGTATGAAACAAAATGACGAATGTGGAAACGAAAGAACGCAGAGAAAGCAATGGTGATGGTTTTTCTTTTTTTTTTTTTCTTCTTTTTTCTTTCTCTAAAACCTAAAACGGAACGACCTCGGCCAATTAAGCGGCGGAGGTCAGCCGTGAGTGAGTTCCCTCCCTTTAATATCTTTAACGTCGCTTATGAAATATAAAATAGATAGCAGAGTGAACGAATTTTTCATCTGAATGCAGCTTTCCAATATTCAATATTTGACCTACATATTTAAAAACTGCGAGATCTGTTCGTTCGGTAATTGTCGAATTTTGCGTTTCATAAAATCCATAGAATGTACGTAATTTCCATATAATATATATGTACACTTAACGTACAATTCTTTATTAATATATATATATATATATATATGTTATTGATATTATTTATATAATATATTATTATATAATATATTGAGTGATAATGGTAATGAATGATATTTGGTGGTAAGTTTGGTGTAAAGAGTTTAATTTAATTTATCCATCTATGGTAAATAAATGGCTTGTGTATATAGTGTACAATTTATAAAAACATATTAATTGTATTGTTATATAATAATTATATGTTATATTATCTATATGAAATATCTATAAAAATAAATATAAAACGAAATAGCACACACACACACACATACATACGCACACCTAATGCGCCTAATAATCTTTCTCACACACGTTTTCCTACTCGAACGAATAAGAGTTTAGATTTAATTCGTTCACTCAGAAACTCTCGTTTTTTTTTTTTTTTTTTTTTAATTACATCTCTTTTAATTTCCTTTTTAAGCCGTTTCCTTTTAAAAGCCTTTTAAATCCCGATACATCTCGCCAAGCAGATCGGTATCACAGCCCCAATATCAATTCAGCGCCAATTCAATGCCAGTACAGTATTGGTTCTAGTCTCAATTCTATTCCAATTCAAACTCAGTTCCATCCCAGTTCCGATTCAGTTCTGGATCAAACTATGTTTCTAGCCTAAGTCAATTCTAAGCTCCGTATCACGCGATATCTGTATCCGGTGTCCAACTGTACAGTCTTCGAAACATGTCATTTATCTTTAGACGCGTCTTTTGAGTAATGTCGACTGCGTGTGTGTGTGTGTGTGTGTGTGTGTGTGTACGTACGTACGTAGAACCAGCTAATGCCTCTTTCATTTCTTTTTTTAAATTTCGCCACGTCGAGAGAAGACGGAAATAACGAAAGCGTCGTATTTAAATGAAACGCGCGTATTTAAATTATAAATAGCGATACGCAAGAGAGAGGCGGCGTTCAGCCGGGGATCAGTCGCCGTTTTTCCTATCGCGCTTGTTCGAGCGCGTGGAACAACGGAAGTACGTGAAGAGAAAAGAGACGAACTGTGAGATCGAATGATTTCACGGCGAGCTGTGCACGTACGATTTGGCAGCTGGCCAAGCAAGTTCCTCGATAAAATCCGTACATCCCCCGACCTCCGTCCGGAAAGCGTCGAACCATGGAATACGAGCAACGAACGAGGCCAAAGGTTGCCCGGAGATACGAGAGAGCTACTCAAATTACCAACCCTTTCCTTTCCTTCTCTCCTCTCCCCCCCTTTTTTTCCCTTTTCTTTCATTTCGTTTCGTTTCGTTTGACCACTCTCGAAAGCGAGAAATACCGATGGCCGGTTACTGGCGTTGAAACCAGAGCCGTATCGAGCGTAGTCGAGTCTCCGCCCTTCTCCTCCAATATTTTCCCGATTTTCGTTCGGCGACTCGACGACGACGATGATTTATTTAAGATAACCGATTGATAGAACGATAGATATAACGATAGATGGAATCACAGACCGAGCAAAGTCGATTCTCTACCACCTCCTCTTCTAACATTTTCTCCTTGACAATTTTCGTGATTTTCGATGATTCAACATTCGAGTGACGATTTGATTGAAAGTATAGCAGGATAGCAGAGAATTTTAAAATAGCAGAATAAAACGATAGATAAAGTGGTATTAGACGTAATAATAGATAAAATCAGATTTCCTCTACTATCGTCCGATGACAATAATCTACTTAAAATAACAGATTAATGGAACAAATAGATGAAATTGACCGCACGATCGTTTAAATGTAATCTATAATACTTATGAAAGACACGCGAATATTGTTAAACGATCGAGTCATTAAAAATGAACTGTAACTGCAAGCTTGATTGTCAAGTGTCAGCCAATCTCGAGCAGAGACTGAAAACCGAAATATTTTGAGGATTAGGTATTATACCCGGAGACTGAAACCGAAATATTGTGAGATTTAGGTATTATACCGGTATTTGCTCCCATATTATCGTAACACAACCGCTATTTGGAAAATCGGTTTTAATACCGGTATAAGACGGTCATACCAGTATTTTCATACGTATTTTATCGGTATTTTATATCCACAACGGTAAAAATATCGAAATATATACCGGTACGGTACCGCTTTACCGACGAAAACACATTTTTCATTTTCTACGTACAGTGACTATTATTAATATTCGGACATCGTGCTATTCAAAATATTGTTGTGGATTTCGATTGTTTATAATAGTAAATTTGGATTAATTTTTTAATAATATAATAGAACATTTATTATAGTTTATAGTAACATAAATTTTATTTATTTGTTGCACATAATTTTCTTAATGTCAAACAATAAATTTGAACTATATCGTAAATGTAGCGTGGCAAAAATATTCGGACATTTGAGGAACTACAATATTTGAACCTGAAAATTGTTAACATAAACAATAATTAGTATTTTGTTAGGTGGCCCTTAATTTCAATAATATATCGCAGACGCTTAGACATACTTCCAGTAATTTTTTTCAAGTAATTTAGTGGAATATTCTTCCATTCTACGATTAATCGTTGTTTCAACTCCTTTTTCGATTTATTGACGTACAACAATTAGTCATTTTTCACCGAGAAAAAGGAAAAACGTATCGAGAAATTGGTCGTCTTTTAAAATTAAATAAGAGTATCGTGACGGATATTATATGGAGATGAACAACGATGAATTAGTATTAGAAATAACAAAGGATACGTGTATAAGCGTCATCAAATTTACTATCGGCAGCTTTATGAAAACATTTAATCATTGTCTCCTTTTCCTTTTCTAATATATTAATATTTTATTTACCGGTATTATATCGAAATATATCTACCGACCTAATATCGTTTTAATAGCATTTGCTCCATTTCGGTTTCATCAAACGTAATCGAATAGTAACCTAAAAATACCGGTATTTTACCAGTATCCGTAATACCGATTCGGTCTTTGATCTCGAGTACTCCTTTTGTACGAAATGGACGAAGGTCGAGGGAAATCTTACGAACGACTGAACAGTGTCCAAGGGATATTACTTGCTCGTGGTCCTCTATTACGAGTTGATTGAAAAGAGGCGACATAATGGTCTCTATGTTGTACGGTTTCGTTCGTTTGGCGAAAAGTATTCGAGTAGCCTGAAGAGCTACGTTGCACAAGGATCAGCGCAGCAGACCAACAATGAGCGAGAAGATGGAGGAACGTTCGAACGTTATTGTCTGCTTAGTTGTTGTTGTTTCAGCGAGCCAAGTTCGTTATAATGGAAATCGTTGTGCGATTTCGTTGCATAATTTAATATAACCTTCGACCGGTGAACCGTCGAACCGTTGGACAGGCGCCCTAACTTTTTAATTAACGCCTTGATTATTGGATGATTCGTGAAAGCAGAAAGCTGAGGCTCCATCGTGGAATCATCTCCCCTGCGAGCGACCAAGTCGAGAGACGAAAATGAGAGAAGAAAACGAGAGGAGGCACGTGTGTGGCGATAAGGTTAGGGGTTTCTATCGGCCTCCA